AAGTTTTAAACCTTGTATATTAAAAAAAAAGTCCTTTTTTCCTCTTCCCCCAGTTGCAGCTCACTACAAACACATATAACTATATTTGTGTTGTAATAAGTATTTCTCAGTACGACAGCTAGAAGTCATACATAACACACAATATAATTACCTGCTTGCTCTAGTTAACACACATATTTGTCTCCCCTTTTCTGCCATCTTACCTTGTGGGCAATTTATATGCACTAAATGTTGAATATTGAGCAGAGAATCCCTCAAATTAGGCTAATCGTTGGATCAATGGTTAAGACAGTGGTTCCCAAAGATTTTCTTCTGGGCCCCCCTTTGGATTACAATAAAATTTCCGCGCCCCCCCCCCATAACCCCCCCCCCCATAACCCCCCCCCCCCCCCCCCCCCCCCCCCCCAAAAAAAAAAAAATAAAGAATCAAGTGGGCACACCCATCGTTCAACCAGATATAATAAACCTATACACATATTTTGTTTTCAAACTCCACTGAAGTTTGCAACAAAATAAACTACACCATCTTTACAGTGGAACACTTTTGTGTAACTGTATTTTTTTCATAGTTCTATACTGTAGATTAGAAGAGGATTCTTTGTTGTCTGTGTTATTTTAAACATATTTCTTTTTTTTTATTTGTAACAATATTTAACTTTGCTATAATCTATACATTAAAAAAGCCTCTGTGCAAAATGGAGTGAAAACATTTAACAGCTCCCTGAGAGATTTTTCTTTGTACTTTAATCCTCCCATCTTTTCAGTGGCTGTAGTGAGCCTGCTTTTTGCTGTAGATCTTCTCAAATCTGGGTTGCAGTGTCACAACTGTCCATTATGCTCAGTCAGGCAAGCGCTGTTTTTTTTTTTTTTTTTTTTTTTTTTTCTTCATTCATCCATCCCGCTTCCCGCGCCCCCCCTGCAATGGCATTGCGCCCCCCCTAGGGGGCGCGCCCCACACTTTGGGAACCACTGGGTTAAGACATGACTTTGGGGTTTGAAAACGTATTCATTTCATGTCAGTTTATTTATATGGCACCACCTCATAACTTATCAAAGCTTCACAAAAATGACTCAGCTGAGTCTTCTGCCAGATTGCTTAAATGTTTTTTTGTCCAAGGTAAGGTTTTCTCCTCAAAAAAACTCACATTTATGCTTTTGAGAGTTTGTCACATTAAGACCATTTAGTGAAATAGTTAAAGGTTTTTGTTATTTCTCTTGTTGTTCCTGTGATGACTTTGGGTCAACTTGTACAAGCTAGATTCTAGCAGAATAAACTGCCTTGGCCTCTTGGAGCATAATTTCAGCCTCGTCCCATTTGTACGATTTGAGAAGCTGTCTTTAAAGCCTTGTTTTCTCCTGTTTCACATATTTCTGTGCAAGGATTTTATTTTTTCACTTAGATAAACACTTTGTGGACTGGTTTTAAAGAGTAATAAACTAATATGATTGAAAAATTAATGCAGATGAACACTTACCTTAGTTCTCCAGCAGGGGGAAACCTACCAGTAGGACGTCAGTGCTGGACACAGTACAGCATACGGGCTTTAATCAGAAAGGTAAACAGCAAAAGATGTTAAAGCTGTTGCATTTTTTTCAACTCAAAATGGAATATAGAGATAAATAATGTTAAAATATGGTAGAAATAAAGAATGCTTTCAAGAGGTCTTAAGGTGGCTTTAAAAAAATAGTCCTAGAGGCACTACTCATAGTCCTCCCTTACCTCCAGCACAGATCCCGGTCTGAGCAGAAGTGCTTTCTGCATGGGGTAGATTTACAAGGAAGTACCACTGAATCCGACTGTCATCCAGACGCAGCTCTGGATGAACCAGAGTGGACACTCTTTTTTCAGAGTTTTTATGGCTTTTCCAGAAATATATGGTCTCCCCAAGGCGATTCAAAAGTTGTTCATAGAGATCAATTTAGCAGCACTCTTTGAAATGCCGAGAGCAAGATCTTGACAGGAAATACCATGGGGTTACCAGGGGTAACGGCAAGTCCAAACTGAAGAATCTGGGAGGCTGGTGATTTACAAGATATTAAATAACCATTCTAGCCATTAAATAATGTAAACATGCCCTCTGTTATATATTTAATGCCAGCGCAGGTGCTTAACTATCACTGCCCCACATGATTTAGATGTCTCTCTGTTTCCGGACACCTCATTCAAATGCCAATCAGGACATCAAGTGCTGTAAATTGCTGATTCCTTTAAGTCAGGTGTGGCAGCAAGGAGACCCCTACAACTTGCAGGGCAGTGATACTTGAGGAACAAGGTTAAGGACCACTAGTTAAAGAGGAAATTAGAGTGTTTATAATCTAAATAACAATGCAGGAGGAGCAATACAATCTCAGGTTATGTGACAGGTAAGAGCCAATCTCCACTGGGATCTTCAACCAGAAAACATTTCCTGTAATGTTTCTGAGAGAAAAGAGCTATGGGTTGTTTTAACAGTGCTGCCTGATCCATTTATGGAAACAAGCTTAGAGCATTTCTAGGCCACCATTTCAAACCGGCCCCTAAGCACTAACCCTAGGCACAAACTCACGACAAAACCACATAGTGGGTAAGGTGAGTGGACAGCCCTTGCTGGAATTTGGCAGCGGGTGTAACAGCAACCTAATAGCAGAGGACACATTAAGTTCTGCTGGTTTGCTGCATCTTCATCATACTTACAGAAAAACCCATGTTAGGTATATGAAAAAATTGAATAAATTCCAAAAGGGAAGGTCCTCTTTGAAATTGTTTTATCTGACCTTATACATTTGTGTTACGAAAGCGGCAAATGTTTGATTTTGTGACCCTGCACCGCAGAGATTCAGCCACGGAGTGCCAATGTGTTGCCATAGCAATGACAGCTTTCCTGTCATTGCTGGGGGTCCCATTCTCTGACCCCCCCCCCCCCCCCAACACACACACACACCTTCAATCAAGGCGCCTTCCACAGCTGCGAGTGTGACTTTATTGTGAATGATTCTTGATAGTGAAGTGTTAGTGGTTCGGGTTTCAGCCTAGGTAAAACGTGACCGGACATGTTCCTAAACCCACAGCACCTCACCCTGAGGAAACATGGAAATAAATATTTCTGGGTAAAGAACCTTTAAGAGTAGTAATACAGTATATAACTGGAGATGTTATTGGTAGTAATAAACCAATCTCTTTTATGAAGAGATATTATGGGCCTAATGGAAGAATGGTCCTCTATGAAAAATGCTGAGCCTCTAACAGAGAGGACTTTGCAGCTTTTAGTTGTGATGCCAAAGCAAACTGGAATGAACATCCAGAAAACCGAAAGAGCTGAAAATCTGACTTTCTTTGATTGAAGGTTGAAAAAAATCTCAGCTTAAAGTGGATTTTTACTGTTATATCCATAGTTTTCAGTCCAACTTTCAATTCCATTCATTTTTAACTATAATTGTATCTTTTTTCATTATATTATTTTAATTATTCATTTTATTCTATTGAATTATTTGTTACAGCTATGCAACTGACATACTTTATTTTTATACACAGGACTTTGTTCTGAAATGCCCTATAACTTTAAAACTTGCCTTGACTGTTCAGTTTGTGATTAACACGGCTACATGAACAATGTTCGGATGGTGCAAGAAAAAAAACACATATCCATCTGCTTAATCATAGCAAAACTTCTTACCTCCAGGTCATTTTCAGCTTCTTGGAAATGTTTTTTTTTACTCTTCCAAAGGTCTTGACTCACCTGTGATGGCATAAAATCCTTCTTTTATATCCTGTACAGGAATAAAAGTAAATGAATAAAGGGAAAACAGTTCAATTTGTCAATTACATATTTTGTTTCAACTGCTTTTTGGTTTTAAAGTTCCTTTATGATGTTTTTTTTTTCTTTCTAGCCTTCGGGTCAATCCTAAAGGCTAGCCTGCGCCCGAACACATTTGCAGTTCAGAGTATGTTACTCTGGGGGCACAGGGGGAACACGTCCCCTGCACTTCTTCAAACGTCCGTTTTGGTTACGCTAAAGTACACAGACACACGTGGAGCACTAGGACCAAGTTAAAAACCGCAGCTTAGGCTGAAGCCCGCTTCCCTGAGTTTAGATTATCTGTAAACGACACAAGAAGAAAAATAAAAAAGGAAAAGATGAAACAACAGTTTGATCATTTAGTGGAACCCAGTTTAATGTTCAGCTTAATACAACCCTTCAAGTGTGGGAATAGCACAGCAAAGATTGAATCACTTGACAGATACCATTTTGAGAGCTAAAAGTTTTTTCAACTGTTGTCACCCATTCCAGGTAGGCAATAAAACGTTCTACATGATCCACATTGTATTAGTCTTTTTCCTGCTTCACAAAGGTAGGCAGCAGCTTAAAAGAGCCATGATGGCAATTATTTTACATCCAAGTAGTATGCAGTTCTTCATATACACACACACATCAACTTCAAACAGATGGTATCGGTATAGTATCAGTATCGGCCAATACTGCACAGCCAGGTATCGCTATCGGGGTCAAAAAATGGAATCGGTGCAACACTACTAATTATAGGGATTTTTCACCTTTCAGACATAAAATGAAGATATTATTAGTTGTATTTTGTGATTAAAGTATTTACATTACAAAGCAATTCATGCTTCTCTGTAGTATGTTTGTATCATATTCATGTATGAAAATGAAGATATGGATGGTAAAGAAAGATATTCACTAATAAAAAATATAGAATACAGGATGAGTGTTTTACCAAATACATCTACATCATACCGAAAATTCCTAATGTTGCACTCCATAAAGAATAACAGAATCATGTTTTCTCACACATGAAGCTATGATAGTTTGATTTATAAAGTTTGCAGCACAAAACATGTCGTATTCAGCGAGTTATTGGCTAAATGCGCTGAAACTTCCCTGAACCTATCAAAATGAATTACAATGAGCGGAGCGGACGACCTCTCCAAGATGGCGGCTCCAAGCAGTACTTCCGCTGCTCTTCTTTTCAAACAGGAAGTACGTTACTACGCTTCAGTTACTTCCGGTGCATCCATTAGCATCGTTAGCTAGGCTGCGCTTTGTTAGGTGGAAGCCTGTCTGAACAGCAACAATGAGTTCAGTTCAGCCTCTGAGAGAGTTTATCAGACAGAGACTAACTGCTGCTGCTGAAGAAATCTTCTCAGAGGTGGAAAAAACCATCATCCAGTACCAGGAGGAGATCGACCGTTTGCACGGTATGACTGCTAGTTACAGCTGGGTACAGAATGCATGGGCTGGGGTTCTTTTTCTTTCACCTTTTCTCACTCATTGCACTCTCTTGATTTTCTGTCTTCCTTTTCCTTATTCGTCTGCTTCTTCCCTGTGGTCCACACAATCACAAGCACACGGTTTGGTGCTACCTGGGTCTAGGTATAACTATTTATTCAGAGGCATGTACTTTTCATCTTCTCACTCACACCTATGGTGAATGTAAGGTTTGTGACATGTAATGTAGCTAATGGAGCTGGCACCAGAGAGAAACAGCTTAAGATTTTTAACCAGCTTAAAAGATTAAACGCAAATGTTGTCTTATTGCAAGAAACCCATAAATCAGCGGCATCTATAAGTGATCTTAACTCCCCTGAGTTCCCTGATGTGTTTGCAGCCTGCTATAACTCTAGACAGAGAGGGGTAGCAATTTTAATCCACAAAAACCTCAGTTTTACTTTATTAGACAAAATTATAGATCCTGAAGGCAGATTCATCATAATTAAAATATCTATTTATAACCAAAAGTTGTGTATTGTCAGCATATATGGTCCAAATGTTGACGACCCCTCATTCTTCCACAAAGTTTTTCATGCACTTTCAAAGCACGGGGATTGTTCTCTAATTATTGGGGGTGACCTCAACTTTGGTCTAAATGGAGAAATGGACAGGTTGAGTACAACAGGGACCCAGCGCAGTTGGCAATCATTAAATGTAGTCAAACATAGGGCTGGGCGATATAGAAAAAAAGCTTATCGATAAAAAAAAATGCATATTGATCGATATCGATAATTATTGAAAAGATTTGAAACCATATTTTATGTGCAGCTCTGCCTGGACTTTTTATAATATTGCTAAATGATTGAATTTTAATAAAAAACACTTCGACTTCGAATTAAATCTTTATTTAACCAACTTTTCTAACCATAACAGAATTGTTTTAAAGAAAAATAACTTAAGAGACCTGAGTTATGTTATTAAATACTGACAAAGAATAAACTTAAGTGACCAGAAAAGTGACCAAAATAAATATAACAAATAAATAAATGCCCCCCCACCGCCGCCCCCGTTTCCTGCTTTAACCTGAGTTATCACTTTGAAGTTGCTGGCCCCTCAGCATTTTTATCTCAATTGTTAGAACTACGTGGGAAACTGCCCAGAACTGAAAATATATATATATTTTCCGAAGATTCCTCGGAGGAGAGCCGCGTCGGGGCCTACACAGCTCGTACTCCTGCGGCTGTGAGCGGCTGAGATGATAAAAAAAAAAAGTTGGTTTCGTTATCAGACTGGTTTTCACTGGTTCCCGACACATTTTCCAGATGACTGTGGTTTGTTTTTTGTCCGACTTGCCATGACCGAAATACTGCCAGACTGCCGAACTACAAAAACCTTTCTTTGAAACAATTTCCTCCGCCTCTCCTTGCTGCTACATCTTCATGTACTCTGTGTTGAGGTTTGAGAGGGCGGCGCTTGGTGACGTCGTGCCTGAGTCCGCGATTGTGATTGGTTGGGAGGAAGCAGTGACTAGCATAAACCTACATGCTAGGCTACAATGAGAAGGAAGGAAAACTGCGTTTCTTTTTTATCGAACTTTTATCGACCCTCTTTTTTTCTATTGCGCCACACGTCTATCGATCGATATATATCGTTATTGAATTATCGCCCAGCCCTAGTCAAACAATACATGAGTGATTTTGGTCTTTGCGATGCATGGCGATCTCTTCATCCTAACAGTAAGGAATACACTTTCTTTTCTAATGTGCATCATTCCTAATCTCGTTTGGACTATTTCCTAATCAGCAGCTCGCTGCTGTCTGATGTCTCAGATGCTGTAATCCATCCTATTGCTGTCAGTGATCATGCTCCTGTTACTTTAACCCTAATAAATAAAAAAATAGCCCCACAAAACAAGAGCTGGAGATTAAATACATCACTGCTTAAAGATGAAGAGTTTCTCAAATTTTTCAAGGAAGAGTGGGCATCATACTTGGTGTGCAATGATTTACCAGGAACATCAGCATCTATACTATGGGAAGCAGGGAAAGCAGTGATGAGAGGTAAAATTATTTTATTCTCATCTCATAAAAAAAAGTTAGAACAAAAAAAGATCCAGGAATTAGAGGGAAAAATAAAGTTACTAGAAAGCTCGATAGATGAGGAAAAGTTAGGGGAAATCCGTAAAATAAAACTAGAACTAAACGAATTTATTGAAAAACAAAATAAATTTTTAATTCAAAGACTTCGAATTGACAACTTTGAACATAGCAATAAGTCAGGAAGCTTCTTAGCTAACCAGCTAAAAATAAACAAAGAAAAAACGACTATATTTGCAGTTACAGATTCAATTGGTAATACATTACAGGATCCGGAGGATATTAACAATGCCTTCCGAGATTTCTATAAATCTTTATACACATCACAGTTAAATCCATCAGATAATGATATCAAGCGATTTCTGGATAAAATAACTCTTCCTAAATTATCAGAGAGTCAAAGAGTGACCCTGGACTCACCGCTGTCTACAGCTGAAGTTCAGGAAGCATTAAAAAACATGCCAAATAATAAAGCACCAGGTCCAGACGGGTTCCTTACTGAGTTCTATAAAGAGTTCTGGGACATTCTGGCCCCAACGTTCCACAGAATGCTGCAGGAAACTCTAGATAATGGCAAATTTCCAGTTAATATGAATTCTGCCACCATTAGTCTCCTGCTTAAGCCAGGCAAAGATCCTATGTTTCCGACCAGCTATCGTCCCATATCCTTAATTAATGTGGATATTAAAATAATCTGTAAAGCTTTAGCAAAACGATTAGATAAAGTCACTCCTCTCATAATCCACCCAGATCAAACTGGTTTCATTAAAGGGAGGCAGTCAGCTGCTAACACACGCAGACTGCTGAATTTAATAGATTATTCCTACAGCAAAAATCTTAAATCCTATATATTGTCCTTAGATGCAGAAAAAGCATTCGATAGAGTAAACTGGAAATTTTTATTTGCTACTCTACATAAATTTGGCTTTGGCAATTCCTTTATAAATTGGTTAAAAATATTATATAGCTTCCCAACAGCCTGTGTCAGGACAAACAATCAAACATCTTCCAGCTTTTGTTTCCAGAGGGGCACCAGGCAGGGATGCCCACTCTCCCCCTCACTTTTTGCTATTTTTATTGAGCCTCTGGCTGCTACAATCAGACAAACAAATATGATTAAAGGTATAAAAGGCATGAAAATGGAGCATAAAATTAGTCTTTACGCAGATGATGTATTACTTTATCTCCAGCACTCAAACACTTGCCTCTCTCAAGTGATTAGTTTACTAGAATCTTTCTCAAAAGTCTCAGAATACTCTATAAATTGGTCTGAATCTGTAATACTACCAATTAATTGCTCTCTACAGAATCCCTCAGGTCTACAATTGCAATCAGGAAATATCAAATATTTGGGAATTACTGTGTCATCTAAACTAGCTGAGTTACCAAAACTCAACCACATCCCTCTTTTAAAGAAAATAGAAGGGGACCTAGAAAGATGGAAATCGCTTCCGATCTCCCTTATGGGTCGGGTAGCCTCAATTAAAATGATGGTCTTACCCAGAATTAACTACCTATTTTCAGTGATCCCAAATAAACCATCAACTGAATGGTTTAAATCTCTAGATTCTTTCATCTCTAAATTTCGTATCAGCTTAAAAACACTACAGAAAACTAAAGACAGAGGGGGACTAGATTTACCTAACTTCCAACACTACTATTTAGCAAATAGATTACAATACATCTCTAAATGGATAAAACATAATCCCTTAGATGAGCCCTGGATAGGCACAGAACAGGATATATGCAGTAATAATAATCTCAGATTTGCCGTTTATTAGCTCTAAGATCAAACGGCACCCATGTTTCAAAAATTTTAACATCAGCTCTTCCCTGACAGCATGGTGGGAATTTCTAAAAATAACGAAGTCATCACTTATCCCGTGCAGTCGTACACCCATCTGGAATAACCCTGACATTCTACAAAACAATAATGTGATAAACTTTCCGTACTGGAAGAATAAAGGTATTACATATCTGGATCATTTGTTTGAAGGTACGGAGTTTATCACATTTGCTAGATTAAACTTGCAATATGGCATTAACAAAAATAAATTCTTAGAATATGAGCAAATCAAAGCTATAATTAGAAATAAATTTAAGCATATTGATGGAGGTTTAATAATTCCAACTAAAATATCAGAGTTTCTAGAGTTAACCCTAGGGCTGGGCGATATAGAAAAAAAGCTTATCGATAAAAAAAAATGCATATTGATCGATATCGATAATTATTGAAAAGATTTGAAACCATATTTTATGTGCAGCTCTGCCTGGACTTTTTATAATATTGCTAAATGATTAAATTTTAATAAAAAACACAAACACAGACTTCGAATTAAATCTTTATTTAACCAAATGTTTTAACCATAACAGAATTGTTTTAAAGACAAATAACTTAAGAGACCTGGGTTATGTTATTAAATACTGACAAAGAATAAACTAAAGTGAGCAAAATAAATATAACAAATAAATAAATGCCCCCCCCCCCCCCCCCCCCCCCCCCCCCCCCCCACCGCCCCCGTTTCCTGCTTTAACCTGAGTTATTACTTTGAAGTTTCTGGCCCCTCAGCATTTTTATCTCAATTGTTAGAACTACGTGGGAAACTGCCCAGAACTGAATATATATATATATTTTCCTGAAATTCCCGAAGATTCCTCTGAGGAGAGCCGCGTCGGGGCCTACATAGCTCGTACTCCTGCGGGTGTGAGCGGCTGAGATGATAAAAAAAAAAAAAGTTGGTTTCGTTATCAGACTGGATTTCACTGGTTCCCGACACATTTTCTAGATGACTGTGGTTTGTTTTTGGTCCGACTTGCCATGACCGAAATACTGCCAGACTGCCGAACTACAAAAACCTTCTTTGAAACAATTTCCTCCGCCTCTCCTCGCT